TTCAGGAAACCCCATTCTGAAGGAAGATACAGCACTTGCTCAGAGAGCCTAAATTTGAAGGCAACACAACTCTTCCCTCAGGGAGCCACAAGCTGAGAGGAGAGACCGCTTTGCCTCAGGGAGCTTCACTGTGAGGAAAACTCAGCCCTGCTCTCCAAGAACCATAGTCTGAAGGGAGATACAGTTCTGCCTCAGGGAGCCCCACTCTGAGGGAGGCACAGCCCTGACTTCAGGAAGCCCAAGTCCCAGGGGAGATGTAGACCTGTCTCAGGGAGCCCACTCTGAAGAAACCAAGTCCTGCCCTTGAGGATCCACAGTCAGGGGGTGATACAGAGCTCCTTCAGGGAACCTGAATCTGAGGGGAGACACAGTCCTGTTCTCAAGGAGCTTCAGTCAGAGGGGAGACACAGCCCTCCCTCAGGGAGCCCTGCTCTGAGGGAGAACACTGCCCCAAATCGGGAGCTCTGAGAAAACAGCCCTTCCCTCAAAGAGCCCCAGTCTGAGAAGGAGATAAGCCTGGCCTCATCGAGCCTTATAATGAGATCTGAAAATGTCCTGCCTCAGGGAGCCCCACTGAGGGGAGATACAGCCCTGCCTTCAGGTCAGTTGACTTTGTGGCCAGGCACCAAAGGATGGGATGTGCTGACCAGACCAGCCCAAGCTTCTTTTTGCTCTGATCTGGGTAAAAATAACCTCAGCTACACATGCCGCCCATTCCCCCTTTATCTTGGACCCTGCCCAGACCCAAGTCACTTGTCAGTTCTTCCTACTCCTCAGCCTCTTCTTGCCTGGGATGGGACATGGCCCAGAAAGATGGGGCTTTAGGGGCCCAGACAAGTTTCGGAGCTTTGCTGCACCCCAAGTGAATCCTGACACCTGTTGCCACTTCCAGGTAGCCACCCTGGATTGGCTGTTGGCTCTCTTGCCTTGTGATATGAAATAATTTGCTTCAATTTGTCCTTCCTTGAGGTGTGTAGACATCTTTGTCCTCTGCCTTGAAGGTGGTGATGAGGTAAGGAGGCAGCACTGCTCCTGTCCTGGGAGCAGTCAGGGTTGTTGGGAGACCAGAATCCTCGGGAAGGATGAGTTAGGGTATGAGTGGGGGCTACAGGCTGGACTTAGCCTCTCTGGGTGGTACAGCCCACAGGAGGGGCTCAGTAGGAACCATGCTCTGGAAGGGATGGAGCATCTCACAACTCTTCCCTCAGGGAGCCACAAGCTGAGAGGAGAGACCGCTTTGCCTCAGGGAGCTTCACTGTGAGGAAAACTCAGCCCTGCTCTCCAAGAACCATAGTCTGAAGGGAGATACAGTCCTGCCTCAGGGAGCCCCACTCTGAGGGAGGCACAGCCCTGACTTCAGGAAGCCCAAGTCCCAGGGGAGACGTAGACCTGTCTCAGGGAGCCCACTCTGAAGAAACCAAGTCCTGCCCTTGAGGATCCACAGTCAGGGGGTGATACAGAGCTCCTTCAGGGAACCTGAATCTGAGGGGAGACACAGTCCTGTTCTCAAGGAGCTTCAGTCAGAGGGGAGACACAGCCCTCCCTCAGGGAGCCCTGCTCTGAGGGAGAACACTGCCCCAAATCGGGAGCTCTGAGAAAACAGCCCTTCCCTCAAAGAGCCCCAGTCTGAGAAGGAGATAAGCCTGGCCTCATCGAGCCTTATAATGAGATCTGAAAATGTCCTGCCTCAGGGAGCCCCACTGAGGGGAGATACAGCCCTGCCTTCAGGTCAGTTGACTTTGTGGCCAGGCACCAAAGGATGGGATGTGCTGACCAGACCAGCCCAAGCTTCTTTTTGCTCTGATCTGGGTAAAAATAACCTCAGCTACACATGCCGCCCATTCCCCCTTTATCTTGGACCCTGCCCAGACCCAAGTCACTTGTCAGTTCTTCCTACTCCTCAGCCTCTTCTTGCCTGGGATGGGACATGGCCCAGAAAGATGGGGCTTTAGGGGCCCAGACAAGTTTCGGAGCTTTGCTGCACCCCAAGTGAATCCTGACACCTGTTGCCACTTCCAGGTAGCCACCCTGGATTGGCTGTTGGCTCTCTTGCCTTGTGATATGAAATAATTTGCTTCAATTTGTCCTTCCTTGAGGTGTGTAGACATCTTTGTCCTCTGCCTTGAAGGTGGTGATGAGGTAAGGAGGCAGCACTGCTCCTGTCCTGGGAGCAGTCAGGGTTGTTGGGAGACCAGAATCCTCGGGAAGGATGAGTTAGGGTATGAGTGGGGGCTACAGGCTGGACTTAGCCTCTCTGGGTGGTACAGCCCACAGGAGGGGCTCAGTAGGAACCATGCTCTGGAAGGGATGGAGCATCAGGGAGGGGAGGTCTTGAACCAGTGGTGGAAGTGGAGTATGTGTATAGATAGCCTACAACTGAAGAGCAGGAAGGGAGTACTACTTAGCTGAGGGTAGAGGACTTGCAGGCCAGAGGGCCTCTGGGGGCAACTGGGTATCAACCAGAGGACCAGGAGAAGAGGTCCTGCCCCAGGAAGTACGCAGTTGTGTGCATTAAAGAAATATTCCATCCCTTGTCTTGGAGAAGCATCAATTCATGGGAAAGCTTGGGCCTGAGGATCCCTTAATCTGTGGCCAGAGTAGGGTTGGGGTTGTAGCCTTCCCTCCAGGGGCTGGATGCATTTTATCACGGCCAGGCTGCTCTAGCCTGGCACATGCTGGCCATTCAGCAATTGGAGTCTTCTCCTTAGTCCTCCTGATGTCACTGTGAAAAATACATCCATGCAGAACATGTGCCTTCTGGTAACACATTGCTGATTATTGGAGTGGAAATCACTGCTCCCCTACTCTTGTCCATGTGGTTCAGTGGTTGGGTCAGCTTTAGCCTTTGGCTGCAGTAGTGGGTATGCGCTCTAGGTCTGACCAATGAGAGCCTTGCTGATGGTTACATGTCTCAAGCTGAGCCAGTGAACATCAGCCCTGGAACTTTTACTGGAACTCTGGGAAAGAAGTGTTTCACTGCTAGTAAGCCAGGAAAAGATAAGCCTGCTGCTGTTGTGGCCATATTGGCCTGCCTGAGATTTGAGTCAATACACAGGAAATCAGACTCAAGACATGGTGAGAGACATATCTGATGACATTATTTGAGTCCCTGGATTCAGCTGCACCTAAAACTAGTTTACTCATGGACTTCTCAGTTTCTGAGATATAACTCCCCTTTTTGCTTAAGCTAGTGTATGCTGGCCTTCTGTCACATCAAACAGAAGGAGTTCTAATACTACCAGAGTTCAAGCTGTTCAGGGAGGCCACCCTCAGATTGTGCTAGGCGCTGCCATTGTGAGTATGTAGAAACCTAAATCTGACCTTGTTATATAAGTCCTATGCTTTAACTCCTTCTGAATTACATCTTCTCCATCAAAATTTACCTGTCCCATTTCCCACCCTCTTGACTTTTCTCCTGCCTAAGAGTTGGCTAATCTGATAAACAACTAACACATTAATGCATCTGCAATTAACACATTAATTCCATGGACAAAGGAGTCTGGCAGGCTACAGCCCATGGGGTTGCAAAGAGTCGGACACGACTGAGCGACTTAGCACGCAGTATGCACATATGCAACCCTTGGCAAGCATTTGTCTCAAAGAACCTTTTCCAGAAGGAGAAATTCTAATCTTGATAATCTTGAGCCCTCTGTGGACAAGGTTTCCAGAGAGGCTTTGGGGACCTGTCTTATTTCACTAGTCAGGTAGCCGGGTTGGAGTTCCTAGTTCTGAGGGCTTAATAGCTTCATCTCTGGTTGCCTTCAGTGAGTCCTAGCCACATGCCATGTGGCAGCATCACCACCAGATGGCAGTGGCGCCAAGTTTCTACGGCCTCAGAATACTGCTCAGCCCTGCCATTAATCTGGGAGAAACAGCTTCCACCACCCCTGCCACGTTCTCTACTTCAGATCAGAGAGGTCTCTGTGTCCTGGCTCACAGTATATGGGGATTTGTGCGGGAGACATTGCTGGTTCTCTTCTGGGGCCATTACTCCTTTTCTGTGCCCAATTCGCAGAGTTTAAAACTCATCTCTTAATTGTCCTTCCTCTATCCTGGCATATCTCTGCATTCCCAGCATGCCAGGGCTGACAGGAGGGATGACTGGAGACCCTGAGCATCTTCTGGGCAGGGCCAGCCCTCTCCATGGTCCTGGGAGTGTCATTGCCCGGTCTGCCCTCAGTCATAGGCTTGCGACAGTGACCTCTCACTCCAGAATTCCTTTGGCTAAGCCCATGGAGGATGAGAGTACAAGTTCTGGACCCAAATAGCCAGCCTCACACCTCAGTTCTGTCCCCTACCAGCAAGGTGACTCTGGGATACTCAGCTCACTTCTTTGCCTCCTCAGGAAAATGGAAATAAAAAATACCTACTTTATGGGGTTGTTGCAAGGGTAGAGGAGCTGACAAAGAAAAGACTAATGCATTTAGAGATATGAAGCATAATAAAAGTGTGCAGACAATCACTGGCACATTTCTCGATCAGTGTGGGCTTTTACTGGTTTTGTACAGAGACACATGTACTCTGTGTGTGTGTGTGTTTGTGTGTGTGAACATCTGTCTGAGTGACACTATCAATCGCTATGTAAAGCAAGTGCTCCTTGCAGGTGGCAACTATATCCTCCTCATCTGACTTTGGAAACCATACCTCGGGCTGGCTCTGCAGCTCCCTGGGAAGCAGAGCAAACATTTTCCTTCCCCTGTTGCTGGCCTCCGGGTGGTGATGCAACCCAGGTCACTGTGTCCTGTGGCCCTTCCTTGCCTCTATCTCCCTCTTCAAGCTTGGAGTGAAGGGGTCTTTCAGATTCCCCTAGGAAGTGAGGTGCAGAAATGGGGCTGCCAGATTTAGCAAGTAGAAATACAGGTCACCCAGTGAAATCCGAGTTTCAGGTAAACATGGAGTGATCTTTTAGTCTGTCCCCAATATTGTATTTTATCTGCAACCTTAGGCATGGGCCCTCTCTGTTGGGACCCTCCCCCCGCCCCGCCCCACAACACACACACCTGTCTGAGGTCCCGGTCCAATTCTCCATCCTCTGCAGGGTCCATCTGGTGGGTGGTGGAGGAGCAGGGCTGTTTCCAGGGAAGCCCCCAGGATCCACCTCCGTTGCTGCCCATGTGACTCCTCTCGAAGTGCACCCTTCCTTGATCTTGGCACCCTTCCTTGATCTTGCACCCTCCTCTCCTCCGAAGCAGGGAAAACCAGGTCTGACCTATCACAGGTCTTCAAAGTTTTTAGACCGTCTGTAAATTTCATGCCAAATCCTTCAGTTTCCTATAACTCAGAGCTGACTTTGGATGTTTAAAAGGCAAGCTAAGGTTTTGACTCTCTTATTCTCCCGTCCTGCCCCTAAGGAGGTCTTAGGTATTGGGCTGAAGAAGAACCAGGATACATGATGAAGCGCAGCTAATATTTTCATGTGTTCCCCAGCAACACACAGAGGGTCTCACCGAAACCTCCCCATAGTCTCGTGGTGATTCCCATCCCAACCGTGTTCTTTGTTTCCATGGCCACTGGGGTGCTGGTTGTTATAGGTGTCAGGCTATTAAAGGACAGGTGTACCTGGTTCATTCACATCCTCCTCCCTTGTCATCTGTCAGAGAGGACAGCAGTTGGCTCTTGGAGCTGCTTCCCAGAGGGGACTATCATTGTGTCTGTTCTGTCAGCCAAATGCATCATATCAGAGAATCACTCTGCCGTGCGCTCAAGAGGGAGAGAAGACAGAGGAGACTGCAGAGACTTCTGCAACTGTGAAGGGCTTTATCACAGCCAAGAACACCCTCCAGCAGATACTGCCTCAATGTCTCCTTGTTATTCGAGCGTCATTGCCGAATGCACTGGGAACCTGCATAATCAGGCTCAGGAGACTGAGGGGACCTGGGCATGACATCCCCACGTGGCACAGTGAAACTGCAAGACAACGGGAAATGGGAATTCAATTCTGGAAAGAGTTCTTCCTCAGCCATCAGGCTAAAAATGCACCCATTTGTGTAAGACACAGGACTTAGTCACTGAAGCAAGTGAACGTGTGACAAAAGGAAGCGTCCTACACTTGGCAAACTTGCTGAGAATTCACACTTCCTGAGTCAAAGCCACTGACATTTCAGAAGAGCCAAATTTAATCAAGGCGTTTTTGAAAGATCCAAACTGAATCAGAGAGACATGAGGCCCTATTATCAGCATGAATCTCGATGACTATGCAGAATTGCATTTGCTGGGAAGCACAGCTTTCTCTGAAAGTGATGGGAAAATCAGTTTTGCAAGACTTGGGAAGAGGGCTTGTTTTAAAGTCAGGATATTAGGAAGCCTGGTGGCTCAGCGGTAAAGAATCCGCCTGCAATGCAGGAGACGTGGGTTTGATCCCTGCGTCAGGATGATCCCCTGGAGGAGGAAATGGCAACCCACTTCAGTATTCTTGCCTCGGAAATCCCATGGACAGAGGAGCCTGGAGGGCTACAGTCCATGGGGTCGCAAAAGATTTGGATGTTATTGAGTGAATAAACAACATTAGGATCAACTATGGAAAGAACTGTAATTGCTGTTTCTCCTCAGATGCTATGTTTCCCCCAGGATGCAGCTCAGAATGTCTTGCGCATACAGTGTACAGTTTTGCAGACTTGAGGATTATAGCCTTGAGGATTAGGGGTTCAAGGGAAGCCTCATTTAAAGGCTAAAATGCAAAACCTGAATGGGAGCTGCTCTGAGGAGAAGACTTGGCGGCCTCTGTCCCTGTCTATTTGCCACATCTGTCTATCTGTCTGTGTATAGTATTTCTCCCGCTACTAGAATGTAAGCTCCACAAGAGCAGGATTTAAACATTTTTTTCTCTATTTATTATTTTATCTCTGGTTAGTAGTCATTTTATTTATTTTTAAAAACTTTAATTGAAGTATAGTTGAATTACAATGCTGTGTTAATTACTGTTGTACAGTAAAGTGACTCAGTTATACACATATATACATCCTTTTTCATATTTTTTTCCAATATGGTTTATCACAGAATATTGAATATAGTTCCTTGTGCTATACAATAAGAACTTGTTTATCCATTCCATATATACCAGTTTGCATCAAGAATGAGATTTTTAAAACTATAATTCTTAAAGGTTACACTCCATTTATAGTTATTACAAAATATTGGCTGTATTCCCTGTGTTGTATAAATATATTCTTGTAGTTATCCTACACCCAGTTGTTTGTACCTCCCACTCCTTCCCCTCTATATTGCCCCTCCCTGCTTCCCTCTCTTCACTGGTAACCACCAGCTTATTCTCTATATCACTGAGTATGCCTCTTTTTTGTTAAATGAATTAGTTTGTTGTATTTTTTAGAGTCCTCATATAAGTGATATCAAGTGGCATTTGTCTTTCTTTAACTTATTTCATTTTGAATAATTCCCTCCAAGTCCATCCATGTTGCTGCGAATGGCAAAATTTCATTCTTTTTAATGGCTGAATAGTGTTTCATTTTTCCGCCCTGATTTGTTCACTACCATATCACCAGTGCTGTGAACACTGTCAGGCACAAGGTAGACCTTGGTATATTCATTCAATGAGTGAATGAATGGACAAATGAATGAGTGAATGACTTAATGAAAAGAACTCTGAGGCCATGCACATCACATCCTATATACTATTGTTAATATTTATTAGCATCCACTTATACCCTGTGTCCTAATGGTGTATTAAGCAGTTCATACACCTGATCTTGGCTTCCTTGGTGGCTCAGTTTTAAAGAATCCGCCTGTGAGCGCAGGAGACACTAATTTGATCCCTGGGTCAGGAAGATCCCCTGGAGGAGGAAATAGCAACCCACTCCAGTATTCTTACCTGGGAAATCCCATGGACAGAGGAGCCTGGTGGGCTATAGTCCATGGGGTTGCAAAGAGCTGGACACAACTGAGCAACTAAACAATAAAGAATTACAAGTAGCAAGATGCTGCTTTCCTTGAATCTATGGAGAGATGTTATTTTCAGGTACTGTTAACATTTATGTCTTCCCAGAGCTAACTGATAGTCAACAAAAGAGTCCAAAATGCAGTACTTGGATGCAATCTCAAAAACAACAGAATGATCTCTGTTTCCAAGGCAAACCATTCAATATCACCATAATCCAAGTCTATGTCCCGACCAGTAATGCTAAAGAAGCTGAAGTTGAATCGTTCTATGAAGACCTACAAGAGCTTTTAGAACTAACACCCTCAAAAGATGTCTTTTTCATTATAGGGGACTGGAATGCAAAAGTAGGAAGTCAAGAAACACCTGGAATAACGGGCAAATTTGGCCTTGGAGTACGGAATGAAGCAGGGCAAAGGTTAATAGAGTTTTGCCAAGAGAATGCACTGGTCATAGCAAACATCCTCTTCCAACAACACAGGAGAAGCACAGAGACATCACCAGATGGTCGACACTGAAATCAGACTGATTATATTCTTTGCAGCCAAAGGTGGAGAAGCTCTACACAGTCAGCAAAAACAAAACCGGGAGCTGACTGTGGCTCAGATCATGAACTCCTTATTGCCAAATTCAGACTTAAATTGAAGAGAGTAGGGAAAACCACTAGACCATTCAAGTATGACTTAAATCAAATTCCTTACGATTATACAGTGGAAGTGACAAATAGATTCAAGGGATTAGATCTGATAGACAGAGTGCTTGAAGAACTATGGATGCAGGTTTGTGACATTGTACAGGAGGCAGGGATCAAGACCATCCCCAAGGAAAAGTAATGCAAAAAGGCAAGATGGTTGTCTGAGGAGGCCTTACAAATAGCTGAGAAAAGAAGAGAAG